TCGTTGACCGGCGTTTCTCGATCCTAACAGTCAGCCATTCTTAAAAGTTAAATTTAAAGTCTCACTTGCGGACATTAAGTTTGATAATATATAAAAGAATTATTCTTGGCACCGGTGGAATCTGAAAGCGGTCATTCGAGGATAATTTTTTCCCTTCCACCACGTATGTTCTTTTTATTATTATAAGTCCCGGCGGTTGAGGCATTTGATCGCGTAGTATGACCCGATGGTGGGACATTTGAACACCAATTTGCCCGGGGGGATGAGAATTTGACCAACTGAAAATTGAAAATGTCTAATGCCCTGGGGGATTGCCCTAGAGAGGATGTTGAAGTTTTTATTTCACAGATACATAAACGCGAAAACAATGTAGAGACAGTGTACAAACAATTTAATCCACAAATGCTGTATTTCAACCTTAAGAAGAATTAAAGGGCTTTTTCTTGACCATTTCCAACACCACTCTCTGCTTCCGTGAACTAGCGTCGATTTTTGTGTTATAGCAATTTTAATATTCTGCGGTTCGTTTAATGATGGCTGGTGTTAATTAGGTACAAAAACACTTCTTACCTTTATATGATTCTTTATAGCTGTCAGTGGAGTTTTCAATCTGTCAGTCAGGGTCACCCAGGAGATGGGCGGTACTTAAAAGGCCATTTTTTTTTTTTTTTTAACAACATACCACGTACGCGTTTTAACAGTAAATAACAATTTCAATACACCAAACAGCCATATTTCCATGTAATTAGACTCCGTCCACACTACGCCGGAGAAATTTAACAACGCAGCATTATTTCTACAATTATTCGTACTGTCTACACTTATCCGTCACTAAAACGAAGCTTTTCGGAAACGCTCTTGAAACCGGAGGAAAGCTAATCGATTTCTTTTAAGATTTTTTTGGGCGGGGGGGGGGNTGAGGGGGGGCTTTAATGGGCTCTACGGTTAAATTAAGCGCTAGAGTTCATAAATGACTCAAGGCTGTTGTACAATTTCCCGCGATATTTTGCCTATAACATCTAAGTTGTTTTTCTCATTGTCAGTTCAGTGGGACGGTTCTTGGTCAGTTTTTAATACACACACAGTCGTCTCGGCAAGAACATTGACAGTTTATTGGCAGATTCTAGCGTTAAGGAATTACTTGATAATATCTGGTTACCCAAAGTATGTGTTCCTGTGTGCTGAAACGGTAATATTATTCTTCATGGAGTGCTGAAACCACACAAAACAGTGTTGCTAGGGCTAGATGACGAGATGTTCCACCCATCAGAATGAGCTAGGAATCGGTTTACATTGATCATTGCGAATTGATAGCCTCTAGTTGAAAAAGGTTCTGGCTTTTTCTGGAACAACTCGTGTTCTGCGGTGGCCGAGCTAGAAGCTCCCGCCGAATTAATTCGCCATTCCAGGCAGCCGAGAAGACGGTAAGTAGTTTTGTTAATTTTTCTGCAAATAAATACCCTTGCCACGTGTAACTGTACCGTAGTAATATCATTTTATAGTAAATGCGAAGTTCGTTCCGAATACTCTTCCCCGCTCTAAAAATTTCCCAAATAGCTTGAAGACGAAATATGCCTTTTGAATGATAGCATGTTCCTGAACTCATATATAGGTGTGTGTGCAATTAAACCGCAGAGTTCTTGAAATAACGGTCCCACATACAATTGCAAATATCGGCGTTTTTATTGACCATTCCTGCCTCGCGATAGAGGGCGGCTCTTGGGACGTTCGCGCGAAAATTCTCTGATATATATATTTTTTTCTTCAATGACAGATCGTGTTATTTTTTTAGGTAGTGCAGAATTTTAGGAGTGAAAAAGTACCCTGATCTTGAAATGTTAGCCCGGAGGGCTATTTAACAAGATTGGCTTTGAGTTGAAGGAGGCAAAACAT